AAAAAAAAAAAAAAGGCCAAGTGCAGTGGCTCACACCTGTAATCCCAGCACTTTGGGAGGCTGAAGTGGGTGGATCACCTGAGGTCAGGAGTTGCAGACCAGCCTGACCAACATGGAGAAACCCTGTCTCTACTAAAAATATAAAATTAGCTGAGTGTGGTCGCGCATGCCTGTAATCCCAGCTACTCGGGGAGGCTGGGGCAGGAGAATCACTTGAACCCTGGAGGTGGAGGTTGCGGTGAGCCGAGATCGCACCGCTGCACTCTGTCCTGGGCAACAAGAGCGAAACTCCATCTCAAAAAAAAAAAAAGGTCAATTGTTTTTCTTTGTGTTTCAGATACGTCGGTAACCTTTCCAGAGATGTGACAGAAGCTCTAATTCTGCAACTCTTTAGCCAGATTGGACCTTGTAAAAACTGCAAAATGATTATGGATGTAAGGGTATTTTACTTAGTTAACTTTATTCTTTTTTTTTTTTTTTAAGATGTTACTTAAAGCAATTGCTTGGAAGGAATTCTTAATTTACCATAGTCTAAATATAGTATAAATTCTTAGTTTACTGTAGTCTAAATATAGTCTTAGTTTACTATATTCTAAATTAATAGGGATTTGGATTTTAGTGAATTTGTAATGAACTTGTTTTGACAGCTGAATTTAATTTGTTTTACTAAATAATGGAAGATGAGAATAGAACTAGTTATTTGTAGATCAGATGGGAACTGTAAAAATGTGGGCTCTTTCAGGTGCATTGAGGCATCAGAAATATATTTATATGTGGTGTCAATTGGTTGGCAATAAATTCAGCTCTTACAATTAAATTGGGAAACAGGTTTAAAAATAATAGGCATTTGATACAGTGAAAGTATTTTTAACTTTATTTTTAAAGGTCATGGTTCAAGTTTTTCTTGTATTTAGGCAATTCTTATTTATGAGACCTTAATGTATTAAAAAAACACACACATTGAACTCATTCATCCAATTGGTGTTAACCCTGATTCATAATATGTATAAAAAGACATTTAGGGAACAGTTACCCTATTTCCCTGGAGTCTGTCTCCTGGGGAGGAAAAATACTTTTTTTTTTTTGAGACGGAGTTTTGCTCTTGTTGCCCAGGCTGGAGTGCAATGGCATGATCGTGGCTCACTACAACCTCCACCTCCCGGGTTCAAGCAATTCTTCTGTCTCAGCCTCCCAAGTAGCTCGGATTACAGGCATGTGCCGCCATACCTGGCTAATTTTGTATTTTTAGTAGAGATGGGGTTTCTCCATGTTGGTCAGTCTGGTCTCAAACTCCCGACTTCAGGTGATCCACCTGTCTTGGCCTCCCAAAGTGCTGGGATTACAGGCATGAGCCACCGCACCCGGCCTAAATTTTTTAACGGGAAAGGCAATGTTAAAGAGAAATCCTTTTGTCCCATGTTCTCTCCTTTCTGTAAACTTTTGAGTTTTTTGTTTGTTTGTTTGTCTTGAAAGACAGGGTCTTGGTAATAGCCACTGCACCCAGCCTGCTATAAACTTTCAGTTTTCTTTTCTGCAGAAAAGACAATGTATATGTGTATCTGTTACCTTCTTTCCTGTTGTATTCCAGCTAAACTTTTTTTTACTTGGTATTTTTAAAAGTAATTATTTAGCCGGGTGCAGTGGCTCACACCTGAGACCACATCTCTAAAAAAAAAAATTAAGTGAAAAGTATTAATTGTACTTGAAATAAAATTGTGTATTCCTCTATTTTGGTAGCTTTCTAGTCTTTTGAATTAGTTTTTTATTTTAACAAATCTGTTTAGGAGGTTATGGAAAGAATTTTAAAATGGCCTATAATGTCATTTGGTATTTTGCACTATAGATTTAAAAATTGGAATTTTTTTCTGCTACTTTAATTTGTAATTAAACATCCAGGTTCTACTTATCACATAGCCTCACCTACCTGGAACACCAGCAGAAAAGGGAAGATACTTTTTTTCTTTCTTTTTGAGATGAAATCTCGCTGTGTGTCCAGACTGGAATCCAATGGCACAATCTCGGCTCACTGCAACGTCCACCTCCTGGGTTCAAGTGA